TAATTTCTGTTCCCTTACTTTTACCTCTATAAGGTGTCTAAGGTGATAAGGGTTTTTTTTTTTTTTTTTTTTTTTTTATGTGGGCCTCAATAAAAATGTCCATTTTGAGTATGTGCCAGAATAAAAATTGAAAGTGATTAGTATTTTTCCATTTTTATATGATTAGATTCCAAACAATTGTTAAAAAGCAGTCCATAATTAGAAATCCAGAGCATACACCATTTGAAGTTTACTTTAGAAAAGCCATCACATGATATGTTACACCAAAAAGCTGAATGCCTTATAAATTATAATAATTGATGTTTTGTAAGGGGTGTTTGGTTGGAAGGAAGGAATTAGGAAGGAAAGGAATTGTAATTTGGTGGAAAAAAAATAAGGTAGGAATAATGTAGGAAATCAAATTAGTTTGGTAGTGAGGAATAGAATTATTGAAAATGAAAAGGAAAAAGTAGTATAAAGACTAAAATCTCATTGTGTAATAATAATAATAACAATCAATAAGGATATTTTTGTCATTTCTTCCATATTTTCCTTTCCCACAAACATTGAATTGCAATTCATGGGGTACTCCATAAATTGCAATTCAACAGAAGGATGAAATTGTAATTCCCTCCAATCAAATACTGTAAAAATGGAGGCCGGTTTCATATTGATAAGATTTTATACCAAGATAAATAATATTTTTAGTGAGAGTAGACTATGATAAGAGAACAAAAATGGAAAGACCATGCACATATATACATACCTTGGTAAAAGCAAGGTTGATGAGATAGGACAAGAACTGGCCGCCGGTGATGAGGAAACCGTTGGTGCTCACAAGGGCTCCTCTAACCTTCGCCGGAGATGCCTCGGAAATGTATAACGGAGAAGTCATCGACGCCATTCCCACGCCAAGACCCACAAAAATTCTGCCCACAATCAGAAGGGCAGGGCTCGGGGCAGCAGCCATGATAATGGCTCCTACAAGAAACAGGAAATCAGCGCATAGTATGGCTGTTCTTCTCCCATATTTGTCATTTAACCATCCACCAATCGCCGCCCCTACGATTGCTCCAGCCACTGCCGTACTCACTATAGCTTCCTATAACATTCACAACGTAACGTATAAATACTGCGTTATAATTACATAATATTATTATTATATTAAAATCATGGATTTGTAACCAAGGCCAGGTCTAATTCTTTTTTTCCAAGTGGGAGTGAAGTTCAAATTAATTCAAAAATATCCATGACAAAATATTAAAAACTTATAATATGGTTTAAATACAAAATACGAGATACTACTCTTTTATGTTTTTTTTTTCATATTTATATAGCATATTGGAAGCAGTGGCAATTGTTTAACATAGTGTTTGATTGTTTGAAGTGGCGGAGCCAGAGAGAAAAAATTTAATATTCCCTCCATCTCATTTTATGTGTCGGTTTCGTTAACGAGACTTGACTGAAGAAAGAGTTAGTTTGTCCAATGAATAGTGAGTAAAACCGATAAAATAGGACAGATGAAGTACTCAATAATCATGTAACGTGGATTCAACCTCTTCACATCTATTACAAGTTTACAACATATAACATACTTAACAATCTAAACTATTTTATCTTTGGAGTCCACAATTGACTAAATTATATGAAAAAAACATTTATTATTCAACATATATATACCAATTACCATGAAGTGTGATGACATCTGGATTGCCATTTCAAATGAGGTGGTAATAAGTTTGAACCTTAAACAAATATAGAACAAATACTACATGTAAAAAATTATGAATATTTAAAAAAATATTTTAATTTTATTACGTTTTCAGTATACTATTATTTTATTATTATTTTTAATCTATTAATACAAGTCGTGTTAAAATATTATATGCTTTTGAAAATATGAACATAATTTTATATAAAGAAATTACGAATCGTATATGACAAATAAATGCGTGTAAAAAGTTGACTATTGTCCACTGACCATAAATCCTAGAAAAGAGTATAGTAGGACACTTGGCACTTAAACCATAGTCCAAAAAGAGGCAAAATTAAAATATACTCCATAATCGTAGTTGTAATAACATGGATCAGGTTCCATCTTGTATGGTACACTGTATTTTTAGTATTAAAATTGTGGCATGAATTTTAATGTGCTAATATTAAATTAGTAGAATTAAATGCAATAAAGTAGATTAAAAGTGAAATTTAGTTTAAAAATTAATGTAATTTTGTGGTATTATATGTTTGAAACATTAAACCCACTAAAATACACGTAATAATTACTGTCTACTACGGTCCTCGCAACCAAACTGAACTCTGTCAACGTATGATTCATGGGCTATAAATGTGAGTGGTCAATTAATAGGAAAATGTTATCTGTACTCTCATTTTCTACTCTTAACTTTTATTTTACGTATTGGGACTCACATGAAAAAAATAATTTATCAAAATTCGCTATATCGGAGAATAAATTTGATGGAGTAAGATTTAGGAGTAGATGTAGTAGAACTTTAATTAATTAATAATAGGACCAAAAAGATAATGCTTTCCAAGAAATAATGAAAGTAAATTATGCAAAGATTAAAAGATGTCTCCCTTCGTGATTTAACCAAAAAAGCAACATTAACATAATCTAATTTTTAGGATTCCCTAGGAAAATAGAATAAAAGAAAAAAAAAAAACCTTTCAATTAGTGGTTACTCTAAGGCACACCAAGTTTATTATTATTATTATTATTATTATTATTATTATTATTATTATACTTAAATGATATAATTTTACTATATCAATTCTAAACCCACAAGATCCTAGCCTAAGAACCGCTGTTAAAATAAATCGTAAGTCACACAATCAACTTACCGATCAGATATGAGTTTTTTGTGCATTTTATCTCAATACATTATGTAAAAAAAAAAAAAAAAAAAAAAAAAGAAATCACCCTTTTTTACTCGTTTTAGTAGCTGAATATGACTAAAATATTTTCACACTTTCAATTTTAAAAAATTGACATTAGAGGACTTCATTTGAGATTTTTTAAATTTTTTTAGAATTATTTGTTTATTTGTTTTTGCAAAAAGGAGAAGATGAGATAGAAAAAGAGAGATAAGGTTGGAGTTATTCTGTAAGAACCGTTACAAATTGTAAGGAACACAAAAAAAAAATAATAATTAAAAAAAAAAAAAAGCGGTGATGGCAGAAAGGAAGAAATAAGTTACCTGCAAGACAGTTCGTCTGTCAACAGACTTGAAGTCATCTCTGATGTAAAGAAGAGCTCCAGATATCACTCCTGTAACTCAAACTTAATCTTATCAGCTAAATTAAGAAAAATAAATAAAAATTATGGAGAGAGAGAAAGAGAGAGAGAGACCAGTATCATAGCCAAAGAGAAGTCCACCAATTCCAGCAGAGAAAGCAAGGCGAAGAACATAAGGGTTCTTCCAAGACAGAGCCAAACACTCCCTGAAAGCTGTTGCATCTGTGCCTGGATGCACCCCTCCTTCCATTTTATTTCTTTATTCTTTATTAGATCAACACATACTATACAGGGAGGATTATTTAAAAAGAGTATTATTACTTCTTAATTTCAGAATCTGCAGAAACCAAAAAAGGAAACTTATGAGAGCTGCAGAGATAGGAAAAATGGTGGAGAAGAAATGAAAGGACAGAATGGGAAGAAGGTGAGGAAAAAGAGTCTAGGAGCGACTGTATAGTATTTGTACATTTATTTATAGAAGGCACTAGATGTGGCCAAATTTCGGGCTTGGACCAGTTAGGAATTTAAGTCGTGCTCGGGCTTAGGCTTGAGCCAGTTTCGGATTGAGCTTTGGACTATTTTTTTTATAGGATTTGAACTGATTCTTTATAAGCCAGTTTAGGTTTGGACTCGTAAATTATGCCGTGCAACCGAATGCACCTTGCAAGGTGCATACGGTTGCAAAACGGCGCCGTTTTATTAAAAAAGACACGGCTCGCTTAAAATTAAAAAAAAAAAAAAATTGGATGGCCGTTAGCGGCGTTATTCATCTCGTATTTGATAGTTTTGCGAATTTTGGTAGTTTGGCGTTTTGATTTTAGTATACGCAAAATCGCAATCGCAGTCGTTTTCCCGATTTCTTGTATGGATCATATGATGGATGAGGCAGTAGATCAGAGAGATGAAGCAGCTGATGAATTGCATACGGTTCCAGGTTATTTTGCATCTGTTTTTTTATGGATTTGTGATTGTTTGCGATTATTTTGATTGTTGCAGTGTGATATATTGTTTAGGTGTTTATATTTAGTGTGATTGTATACAACGTATGTGATGTTGGTCATTATAGTCTGAGATCATTCATAATTCTGGGTGTTTATGTGTTTATGGTTTTCTGAATGAACGAAATATATATCCATAATGTTTGAACTATATAACCAGAAGTTGTGAGCTATATATCCAGAATTATAATAGTATATATCAAGGATTTTGTGAACGGATACTCTGTTTTGGATTGCATATCCATAGTTATTGAACTTTATGTCCAGAAATTGTGAGCTATATATCCATAATTCTAATACTATATATCCAGAATTCTAATACTATATATTAACTAATTTCTAAACTGATACTCTGTTCTGGCTTGTAACATTATGCAGTCAGTGAAGATGTTGTTGTTGATTCATCAAGTTCAGATCCAATAGAGTTAGACATTGATGGTTCTTCTTCAATTCCAGGTCTATATGTAGTTTTATTTGCTCATAATTCACAGTGTTCAGCGTTGTTATATTTTCATTCTTTTTCCATGGAAAATGTTATTCCTTTTGTAGAGCATGGCTTGATTTATTCGGAATTATATTTTCAATGGAATGTGTATTATTTGTTATACTTGAGGTTATATATTGCATTTGCAGTTGATGAAGATTTGGTTGGTGTTGTTGTAAGTAACGGGGTTGAAGCTTATGAGTTGTATAACAATTATGCATATAGACTTGGTTTTAGTGTGAGGAAGGGTAATCAACGGTGCAAGGTATATAGTAAAACAGTCCAAATGAAGATGTTTATGTGTTCTAAAGCTGGTTTTAAGGTTAAGGCAAATGCTGGTGTTAGGGCATATTCAAAAATTGACATAAGGACAGGGTGTGGTGCATGTGTTCAGTTTGACGTGGGTGAGGATGGGTTGTGGACGGTTACAAAACATGTCAAAGTGCACAACCACGAGTTATGTGCTGTAGACAAGAGTCATCTTCTCCGTTCACATAGAAATGTGGGTGATAATCAGCTGTTATATTTAAAAGATTTGAAGAAGAGTGGTGTTGCAATGGCAGATGGTATTAGGTTTTTGAAACATCAAGCAGGGGGGTCTCCATTAATTGGTTTCACTAATCGAGATGCTTATAATTCGATTGCTTCCGATACATCAAAGCGTTTGGATGGAACAGATTCGAACTCATTAATTGAAATATTTAGGAAGAGGCAATCGACTGAGTCTGATTTTTTCTTCGATTTTGAAGTTGATTGCGATTCAAGACTGTGCAGTTTTTTTTGGAGGGATGGTCGGATGAGACAAGACTATGAGTTGTTTGGGGATTTGTTAGTGCATGATACAACATATCGCACCAATAAATATGATATGATTTGTGGCCCTTTTGTAGGGATGAACCATCACTGCATGAATGTAATGTTTGGATGTGGTTTTTTGATGAATGAGAGGATAGAATCATTTGTGTGGTTGTTTAGAGCATTTTTAAGATCTATGAATGGGAAGTGTCCACAGTCTATCATGACAGATCAATGTGCATCCATGGCTGCTGCTATTTGTCAAGTGTTTCCAACATCACGTCATCGTCTTTGCATATGGCATATTGGTGAGAATTCGAAGAAGCATATCAAGGCGTTAAGGAATAATAAGGATTTCTTGGATATGTTTAACTGTGTGTTGAAATACACAGAGACTGAAGCTGAGTTTGAATTTTATTGGACAAGGTATGTCCACTATTTTTTTTTTCATTCCAGTAAATGAATTATGGATATATAGTATTAGAACTATGGATATATAGTATTAGAATTATGTGAACATGTAGTAGTAAAGCATGACACTTTTCTGATTGTTTCTGAATTACATGCATTCAATTTATGGATTTATAGTATTTGGAATTGTGGATATATAGTAATAGAATTATGGATATATAGTAGTAGAATTATGGATATATAGTATTAGAATTATGTGAACATGTAGTAGTAAAGCATGGAACTTTCTTATTGGTTCTGAACATATGTCTTATCATTTTCAGGTTGGTGATTGACTATAAGTGTCACAAGAATAGTTGGATACAAAAGTTGTATGATTGTAGGGAGAAGTGGTGTCCAGCATTCAACAAGGATTATTTTTCAGGGGGCATTTTATCATCGCAAAGGAGTGAAACTACTAATCATTCGATTTCAAGAAGGCTGTCTAAGACTGCGGGTCTTTGTGATTTTTATTCATCATTTGTTAGTGTAATTTCTGAATGGAGAAGCAAAGAGAATGGTGAAGATTTTCGTTGTGCTCAAGGGGCACCCACTATGATGATGGAGCACGTGAAACTTCTTTTACACGCTAGAGAGGTATATACGATTGAGATATATTTTTTGTTTGAGGAACAGTTTATGAAAGGCAATGCTTGTCATCAAGAAATGGTGTTGAATGATGGTTGTCAGTTCAAGTATCATGTATGGCGTCCAGATATAGATATTATAAGGCATGAAGTTAGTTTTAAGTTGGCAACCTTGGACATTTCGTGTAGTTGCAAGTTGATTTCCGAGTTGGGAATTTTATGCTGCCATTGTTTACGTATTCTTCATATACATTGTGTTTCTAGTATCCCTAATAAATATATCATGAAAAGGTGGACTAAAAAGGTTGCTGATGGTAGGGATGTGAATACTGGTCCAATGTTTTATAGAGCTGGTGTCCCTCCTTCAATTTGGGTTGTGGAGATTTGTAGAAAATTTCAAAGATTGATTGCATCTAGTCAAGATAATAGTGTAACTAGACAGTTCTGCGATGAAGCAGTTGAGGATGCAAAGAAAAAGGTTGAAGCTGAGATTGGCTATGTGCATATTGAAGAGTGTGGTGTTTCATCTTCAAGTGGTGTCATTCAAAATCCTTCAAACCGGAGATCAAAAGGTGAGCGTAATGTAAGGAGGAGTAGTGTTATTGAAAAGAAGTACAGTGTTGCAAGGGGGAGGAGGAGTGCTGCAAATAAAGTTGCTTCGAGTACAAAGGGTGCTGTTCAGTCGTTGGTTTTGGGAAGTCTATCTGAGATTGCCGGGGATGGGTACCTTGTACATCCAAGTTCTGGGAGTTCGGAGTTTTGTCAATTTTAGTAATGATTTAGATGATAATGCAGTTTTAGACTGAGATTGGGTTTAATACAAGTTGTTAGCTGTTTTGAGGATATCAATTTACAAGTTTTTTGATCTGTGTATTCAAAATTTTAGAACTTGTTGTTTTGCAGGTTTAAAGCTATATATCCATAATATTAAAGCTATATATCCATAATACTAAAGCTATATATCCATAATATTAGAGCTATACATCCATATTTCCGAGAACTATATGACCACAAATTATTGGACTTGTATGTCAAAATAGTAAAAGTGTTCATAATGTTATATCAATATATCCACAATATTAAAGTTATATATCCACAATATTATAAATATAAATTAATAAATAGTTGAACTTGATATTTACACTTATGTAAAATGTTATGTTGACAGTTGAACAAATATTCATAACTTTATATCAATATATCCACAATCTTAAACCTATATGTCCATAATCTTTGAAATATAAATTCATGAATATTTGTGGTCAATCTTTGCACTTAAGTAAAATGTTCATAATTGTATACCAATATATACACAATCTTAAAGCTATATATCCATAATATGAGAACTATATATTCAGTGAATTTCATAGATCAGAATTTGCCAAAAAATGTAATAAAGTTGTTACAAAACAATCTGTGAACTTCATAAGATCAGAAATTGCAACAATTGCAATAAAGTTGTTACAAAACAATCTTTGATCATAACAAAAAACGTTCAATGATCTTTGCAGTTTTACTTTTTCTTGTCTTCAATCTTTGCAGCTTTCATGACCTCGCTTATGATGGTGTTCGGTTTTGATGTGATGATACAAGCAGCATACTTTGCCCTCAACTCACAAATGAAGCTAGCCTGTAAATTAAGAAAAATAAATAATTAGTTTATTGTAATTTTGTTATCCTTTTTCAATGTAGTATGAATGTAATTTATTTATGTTACTCTTACATTTGTGCGCATATGTTTCTTGAACCCAGGATCCCAGTCCTCGAGAGCTCCACCCATGTAAGTCTCCATATGCCGCATTACATATATGCCACAGTCGGTAACATTGTCAGCATTTTTCCAGTTCATGGCAAGGAACTCTACTGGCATGCTGTTCAGTTTGTGAGTCAAGGTGGATTGTCCTGCTGCTAGGTATGCCTTGAATGCTTCAATCTGGTAAAAATTAGCTCAATGTTCATAATGTTTTAAATTCAATATATATAGGTGACCAATAAGGAGTTTTTTAATATAATATAAGCTACCAGTTTATATGGACAGTCCCCATATTTATCAAGCTCTGAAACCACAGCAGGCAATTCCTTGTTGTCTATCACCTGAACCTTGGATTCCTTGACATTTATGCACACAACCAAAGTAGTGTGCATGGCGATGCCACTGGGAAAAATATCTAATTCCAAAACAAAAGGTATAGCGATGTTAATATTTATGGACATGATAAATTGAAATTACAGAAGATTATGTTAAAGATCAAATTTGAACAACTACATACCCATGTATTATTAACTGCATGGCGTATACATACATTCATATTTCACAGAGTACTATATATCCACAATCATATAACTATATATCCACAATTTTAAAACTATATATCCACAAATTCAGTACTACATAAAGGATCTTAATAAACTGAGTATATTCCAAGCCTCATGCATATATATCCATAAATTCATAACTATACATCCAAAAATAACATTACTATATATCCAGAATTCTTAACAGTATGTTCACAGAGTAATACATTCATATATTCACAGAGTACTACATATCCATAATCACATAACTATATATCCATAATTCTAATGCTATATATCCACAAATTCAGAACTACATAAAGTATATTAAAAAACTGAGTATATTCCAAGCTCCATGCATATATATCCATAATAAATTTTTAAATTATTAATTTGAGTGTGTGTAATAGATCTTACAAGGTCTGCATCATTGATTTCCAGGTTTCCGAAACTTGATATTTCATAATTCAATCTATCATTGAAATTTTCCATCTTTTTCTCGGCTGGGAGACTTTTCATCCAATCATCAGATGGATCAAGCTGCAGCTGTTTTTGAATACACAGAATGCAAAAATGAGGATTCAAAAGGCTTAGTGTACTATATATCCACAGCTAGATTTTTAAAAATGTGCATGTGCATGTCAAAAATAACTCTTACATGTGGCAATGTGGTGAAGAATACTCGTTTTGGTATCCAACAGCACGTTCTGTGTTCTTCAAAGTTAGCCGCAAAGACCAAACATTCAAGAAGTCTATATCCAGCTCGCCGTTGCTCAAAGTTGAGAAGTGACGCCTTGTTAGGTAGTAGTCACCATAGCTGAACAGCAACTCACTACAACACCAGAATAATAATAATAATAATAATAATAATAATAATAATAATAATAATAATAATAATAATAATAATAATAATATGAACTATCTAAGTAATTAAAAGTTTGTTATAAATATACGTGTTCAAACATACTCTTCTGGGTGTTCGTTAGACGCACTCAAGAATGCATAGTTTGAGATGATTTTTTCCCGGGAGTTGCGTTGCGTATAAAACTTGCATTCTGTGTCCAGTATGGTGACCTCAGACAAAGAGGTTTGTTCCTGAATCGTCGCTGGGGTCTCTTCCTAACAGTCACGTCATCAACATCAGACTCACTTTCTTGCATGGCACTGTTGTTTATATATCCACAGTGTTAGAACTTCATATCCATAATATTAAACCTAAATGTTCATAATTTTATATCTATATATCCACAATTTCAAAGCTATATGTTCACAGTTGTAAAAATGTTCATAATTTTATATTCATAATCTTAGAACTATAAATTCATAATGTTAAAGCCAAATGTAAATAACAAACTGTCAATTTACCGATCAAAGTCATCAACATCAGCATCAGCAGCAGGGGCATGATGGACATATCTTCGAAATGGGACTCTAACAAGTGGAGGAGTTACTTCTGCTCCCAAGGGCGTTGACAGTCCTGCATCTTCTCCAATTTGTTGAACCAAAGCATCCAATGGTTGTTCCTCTTCAACTACTTGCTCTGTTTCTTGCTCATGTGGCTGTGGTTGGGATTCATTGCAGTGTATTCCCAAATCAAATGATGGAGCTTCAAATTCCATGGTTCTTGTTGTTTTCTGAAATGCTTCCACCAACGAATCCACTGCAGCTGTGAAGGTTTCACTCCCAAAGAATATGTCATCCAACTGAGATTCAGTTGGAACGGAAGTTGATTCAATTGCACTTGCAGCACCTAGCATGTTTGATATCCCTGAGAATGCTTTCTTCATCACTTCAATAGGTGCGCCCTGCTTTTCCAATTTCAGACATAGCTTCACCAAA